GGTTGATCCTCTAACCACTGAGCAAAAATGGCAGGGCCATCTTCACTTTTTTTTTAATATATTTTATTGATTCTTTTACAGAGAGGAGGGGAGAGGGACAGAGAGTTAGGAACATCGATGAGAGAGGAACATTGATCAGCTGCCTCCTGCACACCCCCTACTGGGTATGTGCCCGCAAACAAGGTACATGCCCTTGACCGGAATTGAACCTGGGACCCTTGAGTCCACAGGCCGAGGCTCTATCCACTGAGCCAAACTGGTTAGGGCTCTTTGAGCCCCATTTTACCTGATATTTGAGGCTGAATCTAGGTAGTGTTGGGTTTCCTCAGTTAACTCAGGACCTCCCCTTCCCTTCTTTCTACATGGGGTGGCATCTATGTGTGTGTGTGAACCTAGAGGAGGGGGAGATCTTCTGATTCATGACCTTCATCTCTCCAAGGTGGCATCTGCTGCTAATGTTTGTTAATCTCTGTCTTCGATTGCCAGTTACATACTCTACAAGGCCTCTTCAGGTGCTCTGGCTCTCTCTCAGCCACGTTTGTGGCCCTGTTGTGGGGGCAAGGAAACTTTCTGTTGCATTCTGAGGTGTTGGGAGCCTGGAGAGGCTCTGCCCCACACACCATGCTCCAGCCCTGTCACTCTGTAGTCATGTGGGGAGCGCTCTTAGACCTTACCTCACCTGGGAAGCCAGCCCTTGAATCCCCAATTTACTGAGCATTTTCTCATCATTATAGTCTATCCACTTCACCTTCCAGTGGGGACTCTGGTGAATTGGATTGCTTCCTTTGGACTCTCTGCCCTCCTTCAGCCTGTGGGAACTCCAGTTAGCCTAGTTGGGAACCTCCTACCACCCCAGGTGTTCGTCTCAATTTATGGCGTTTATGTTGGCGTTTGCTGTCCATATACTCTCTCTTTAGGGAGTTTCCAAAATCTATTTTGAAACATTAAGAGCTGAGAATCTTTTTCTTCTTTCCCTGCCCTTTCTTCCTCCTTTGTCCTTCCTCTTCTTCCTCCATTTTCTTTGTTCTTAATTTTTATGCAAAAGGGATAACTGAGAATAAAAAGCACAGCAGGTAATACAAAACATCACAGTATTTCCATCTTTCCCTTGATAGTTTGACAAAACCTGGAAGATGGAGCAGGTGAGAAGGTGGATCCCTGGGAAGGAGAAATCGGACATTTCACCATTTTCCATTTTAAAACAAGATTTTAGACAAGATTTTAAAACAAGATTTTAGACCTCATGACAACTTTCACTGATTTTACTGTCATTGCTTTTTGGAGATTAGCTTTTCAGAAAGAAAAGTCACTAATTTTTGAACCATCCTATTTCTGAGGTCACTAGAGAGTTTGTCAATATTCCACAAGCTGCAAACTTTCAAGTACTCATTAATTCAGGATGTGCTTTATTAAGTATTGACATTCTCCTATAAATCAGTAAAAGTTGGCTTTTATAATAAATGTTGTTTTCTCTGACTATGGTGTATTTTTCAAATGTTTCCTCTGAAGCTTTTCTTTTTTTTGTATCTATTCTTTTGCAGACAGTTTTGCTTCTTACCTAGACAAACATGATTTTTTTATGATGATGTTGGACTTTACTGTCATTTTCGGCAAGGCTTCCTTTCCTAGCCTCAGATAAAAATATTCCCTTATTTTCTGTAAATATTCTGTTATTTTATTTTATTTTTTTCATATTTAAAACTTTAATCCACCTGAAATTTGTTTTTGTGTCTTTTGTGAGGTAGGAATTTGTGTTTCCCCAGGTGGACAGCGAGTTGTTTCATATAATTTATTGACTATTTTTTACCCACTAATTTGAAATATTACTTTTACCATAGACTTAATCACCCCCTATACTTTGTAAAATAGACTTTTGAGCTGATTTATATGCCTGTTTCTGTGCCGATATCACAATAATTCAGTAACTATACCCCAAATTGCTTTAAATTGAACAAATTGGAGATAATTAATATTTTTAGACTATTGAGTCTTCCCATCCAGGACATAGATTGTTTTTCTAGCCATTCTTTATTATGTTTTCCCATAAAAACTCTCTAGGTTTCTTCAAAAAGGCTTGACAAATTCTTAAATTTTTTTTTCCCCTGGGGTATTTTGGCTGCTCTGGGTCATATGGAATTTGTTCCTCATTGTTTTCAAACTGGCTGTTTTGGGCATGTGTAAACTCTCTTAGCTATGTTTAATTTATTTTGTATATAGCTCCTGCCTCATTATATTGTAGACTCCTTAAGGCTAGAGCTTCACATAGGGCACATCGTCCTTTGCTCAGTGAGAACATCACACAGGATACTGCTGTTGGCTGTCATATTAGGCTTTTACATTATACTCAGCAACCAAGCAGAGGGCAGCCTCAGGTGGCCATGATGTTTGTGGAAACCATGATGATTGAGAGGAGTGTAATGGGAAGCCACACAGACCTGGCTTGAATGCTCACGTTGCCACTTTCTAGTTGAGTAATCTTGGCATCTCTAAACCTTAATTTCTTCCTTAGGCTCACATCTGAACCTAATTCATAAAATGAACTAACATACATAAAGCTTATGACTGGCTCCCAGCAGGTATTTCATAATGCATGGCTGTTAAGATCATTAGGAATCCATATTGTCACATGTTAGAGAAACTTTCTAAAACGCTTTCTTTCTGAGAAGTGTGTTATATATTGGCCTCCTCTCTCTAACTTGTAAGTTTCCTGAGAGCAGAGGCCAAGTATTACCAGTATTTTTATCCCCAGCACCTCACATATGGTAGACACAACTTTGGTGGCTGCGTTTGATAGCATGAAGTACCACAACTTATTTAACCATGCCCTTCCTACCTTCCATTTCTTTTGTTGTTGCTAATAGAAAAGAAGCTGAATTCTCATCTTTGTTAGGAAGGATAGACAAGTTTAAGAGAGGATATGTCGATGGCAAACATCACTGCAGGCCACAGTAACACATACTCCAGTTCAGTGGTTCTCAACCTTCCTAATGCTGCGACCCTTTAATACAGTTCCTCATGTTGTGGTGATCCCCAGCCATAAAATTGTTTTTGTTGCTACTTCATAACTGTAATTTTGCTACTG